CGAAAGCTCCCCAATGTTGACAAATAATGAGTTCTTTTTGAATTGTTTTTTCCATTGGGTAATGACTTTATTATCCTTGGAAAAAAATATTTGCATCCATCTCCATGCCTCCAACTGGCAACCCTAGGACCTCATGTACATGTTGTTCAATAATTTTGAAAGGCTCGAAATCAGGAATATTCAAGGAACAACTCTGAGCATCAAAGTGCTTAACCAACCAAAAACCCAACTGCAAAGGCAGTTGGGACACTTTCAAAAACTCCAAGGACCCAAATCCTATAGCTCCAATAGCAATCAACTGATCTTCCGAAGCTTCTTAGCAACATTAATGACAGATGAAGGTGACATCCTATTACGGAATGTCCCATAAACAACAGACTTCGATCCTTGCACTTCATCCCCTAAATTCAATCCTCCATCTTCACCATCAGGATCCTCGAACTTCACATTTTGTTTTTCTTTCACTCCTTTTTCAACCTCTTTTACTTTACCCTTAGTAGCGACTGATTTTAATCTCTTCTGCTTGTTTTCTGATTTTATAGATGCACAGACTCTACAACCACTACAGCCCCTGATGAACCAACATCGGCAGCACACTCCTTTTCAATAGAGTTCCTACTCATACAAAATCATAAAAAAAAAAGTAAAATATCACATAGATTTTTTTTTTGGAGGTGTTAGAGGATACTTTAGGGGAGGGTCTAGAGTATGTTATGATAGAGAAGCATAGGCTGATAAATTATCTAATGAACAATTGTCAAATGAGCAATCAATATTTTGCTCATTTAGCAAATGAGCAAATAGTTAGTTGTTAATTAACAAATGAGCAAAAACTTAGATGCTCATTTGTAAAATGAGCAAATAGTTAGTTGCTTATTTGTGAAATGAGCTCTTTGATCATTTGGGAAATGAGCAATCAGTTTTTTGCTCATTTAGAAAATGAGCAATCAAATTTTTGCTCATTTATCAAATGAGCAAACATTTCTTTAATCATTCATTAAATCAGCAAGCATTTCTTAGCTCATTTGTGAAATGGTCAAATGAGCAAATAAATAATTACTCATTTGTAAAATAAGCAAAAATTTCTTTGATCATTTGGGAAATGAGCAATCAGTTTTTTGCTCATTTAGCAAATGAGCAAATAGTTAGTTGCTCATTTGTCAAATGAGCAAACATATCTTTAATCATTCATTAAATCAACAAGCATTTCTTAGCTCATTTGTGAAATGAGCAAACATTAGTTTGCTCATTTGTCAAATGAGCAAATAATTAATTACTCATTTGTAAAATAAGCAAACATTTCTTTGATCATTTGGGAAATGAGCAACTAATTTTTTGCTTATTTAGAAAATTAGCAAATAGTTAGTGCTAATTTAACAAATGACTGCAACTCCAAACAAAACATACATTTCATCAGATATGCTATACAAAATCAAAAAACCTGATATTTCATAAATGAGCAATAAAACATAAAATGAGCAAGTTTTATCCAAACAATAACTATTATACTGACCAAGAAAACATAAAATGAGCAAATAAGAAAACACGTACATTTTCCTTTCCAAAGGTATAGCCGTAGAATCTTTAGCATTGGTAGAATCAATAGCTTTAGTAGAATCAATAACAACCGAAGAATCTTTTGCATTGATGGAATCAATAGCATAAGTAGAATTAATAGTAGCCCCTGCTGCATGTTTGTCACCACCACCATTAGCAGCAGAATATGTTTCAACAGATGTCCTGCTCACATAAAATAAAATAAAAAAGAATAATTATTTGTAGAGAAAAATCACTGTGTCTGCATTCACTTAATTATCTATCCAAAAATAACAGTCAGTAAACCAAATTTTTGTAAAGTGGGTTGTGCTTAATAATTCAAGAAGATTAATTTGCTACTCATGCATGAGAATAAATGATAACAAACAGCCCATGCTTCATTTCAGCATAAAGTGAACCCACAAACTCCAAAGAACACTAAAGAAGGAGTACATTAATTGCTCAGTGAATTCAGTAAGAGATAAAACATGAATCTTAGTCCAATGAATGCCAAATTATATGAATCTATGAAAAGCAACTACATAAAATTTTGTGGTTTTTTTATTTCAAAATATCTCTAAACATCAGCCTACAATTCATACCGAGTAATATGCAATAATACTACTTCGTCCTTCAAAATAGTCGCAGATGCTTTGCAGTTCATATTGACCCTTTATGAACATCAAAAAGTAAGTTAGATGGTTATCAGTTTACAATAACTTTTGCTTTTCCCCATTAAGCTTATATCAGCCACTGCTCCACAGAGCTGCTACAGCAAGTGTGAACACACCCTTGTAAATGGAAATGAACCAGGCTGCTTTAGCCAATTACTTGACGAGAATCAGAACATCTCTAGACCACATGTCTCTACCTGAGCATCCATCACACCCCATAGCCCCACTCCAATCTTAGACAGAAATTCACATCCAGTCATCTATTTGTTGATCGTGATGGAAGTGATCCCATGGATATCCAATGAGGCAAATAAACAAAAGTACGATAATAAGATGTGAACTTAAATCCCCCTCCTTCCACCCTCCAACCTTACAACACAGCCTATTTCTAAACCATGTTTGGTAAATGTTCCTATATAGTGGGAATGGTAATGGATTTGTATGCAATTTTGCTAGGAAATCTTTATGCAATTACCATGTCAAAAAGAACACTAAATATGTGTTTTTTTTCCTCCAAATAAGCAATATAATATTCATTGTGTGGCAATGTCGCATAGCTATACAACATTGCAATATCTCTACACTAGACTTACACATCCCTTTCAATCTTAGCAAAGTAGCAATCACACATGGAAGAACATAAATTTGGCAGCGAACTTATTATCTTAGCCTCATCTAATTAGTATCAACTGCAATTCATTAGCCTCATCTAATTGCTTGGTCTCGGAATCATGTACTAATGGGAACCCAATATTAACAAATGCAAACCTTATAACAGCAGTGAGTAAAACCAAACACTCATTTCATTCCTACTGTCTAGCCAAGTTATCACAGCCAACAAAACTGAATATCATACTTCCAGTAGCAAAAAGTATGTGAAATTACTCAAATAAAGCTAAACACGAAGTATTTTATTGAGCAACAAACATAAAGTGAGCAAGTAAATATAAAATGAAAAAATAAAAATAAAATGAGCAGAAACACATACACTGTATTTTTTTGAAGACCAATTAGGGATGATTCCATAGCAATTACTTCTAGGTTTCCAAAAAAAACAAAGAAAATGTAAGATAATTACTCAAATGAAGCAAAATTAAAACTAAAATCAACTAATAAGTACTCATATATAAATCGAATAGAAATCGCTAGGAAAAAAATCGAACGGAAATTAAACCGAAAATCGCAAAAAATCGCAAAAAAATTGACGAAAACCCTAAGTAATCAAACTAAAATCAACGAAAATCAAACTTTAATCAACGAAAAACAAACTTTAATCAACGAAAATCAAACTAAAATCACCTTGACAAAGAATCAATGAAGTTTGAAGTAGAATTGATGAAGAATCAAAGCAAAGGAAGAGAGCAGTAAGAAAGGGAGCAGAGAAATTGAAGGAAGAGAGAGAAAATGGCGCGTTGAATGAAGGAGGAGAGAGAAAACGTTGGAAATTTGATTTTGAAATTATGTTTGATTAGGATTAATTGTGACCATTGGATGTAATTGATCCAACGGTTATAATGAGTCCTCACATATAATAGGGTTCTCACATAAGGGATGTGGTCTCATATGATCCCAATATATATAAGGTGAGAAGCGTGAGAAATCCAGATACATCAAGAATTTGCTATAAATACATTTAAGTAAATATTAAGGATACATCAAGTATATATGACAGATACATAAAAAAAAAAAAAATTAAGAGAAAAAAGTAAAATTAAAAGCATGATTTTCTTTATATCAAGCTCAATTCACATCCGTTAGCACTCAAATAGCAGTTGACTGCTTAAAAAGAAAAGTAGTGCAGGTGTAACAAATATCTTCTCTTATACTAGCATTATAGATACATTAATGGAATACTCTAGATACATTAGTAGAATACTACAGGTACATTTTTAATACACTATAAATGCATTAGTAGAATATTGTAGGTACATTAGTACTCAGTATTATAAGAGAAGTAAATAAATTCTATTTCCATTAATTTGTTTGACTCATCAAAGTGAGTGGATGTTTTATAACGTAAACATTAGATGAATTGCAGAACCTAAATCAAACTTCAAAATGATATGAAAATTCTTCATATTCCTCAATATTGAAATATTCAGGCATCATTAGTATCCTAACCCCTGTACCACCGATAAAGGATTATGGAAGAGAGAGAAAATATTCTTATGAAAAACATAATCAAAAAATTAATTGGACAAGATTAAAGGTATGTTAAGGGAGGTTGGGAGTTGAAGAGCAACTTTTGAAGAGCACCGATAAACTTGATTGCATACTTAAAAAATTGAAGAACAGTTTTTGTTCTTACATGTGCAATGAAAGTTGGTGAAATTACCAATAATGTCATTAATGAGGTAGGTTGAACAACAGTCATTGAATTTTCTAGATTTAAGGATTGTAATTGCTTCTTACACTTCTCACCATCATGTAAAAACAAGTGTTAAAGTAAAAACTGAAAACATTTAATCTGAGCCGTTCATCAAATTGTATGGCTCAGATTTCTTTCCTCTTATTTTTAGACATTTCTGAATTTCTCTCTCCTCTTTAATTTTCAGGTTATTTTCTCTCTCTTCTCTTCTCTTTCGTACTTTCTCTCTCTTCAACCAGCTTCTCTGTTTTCTCTCTCTACTGCGTGTTTCTCTTTCTCCGTTGTCTCTCTAAACGCGGCGGAAGGAGGAAGGCGGCGAGTTTTGGTGGATTCGACTTTCAGGAGAAGCGGCTAAGGTATTTTTGTAGTTTGATCTGATATTTTTAATTTTTTTTGGTTTTTTGATATCTGGAAAATTACATTTTCGGTGCATGTCTGTGTTGTTGTTATGTTATTTTATATTGTGGAATTTGCTGGAACTTTGAATTGATTTTCTCATTGAATAAGAGGTAGAATCGAAAAAAGGAATTACGTTTAATGTAGTCGAATTTTGAGTAATTTAAAGTGTTTTTAGTGGATTTGTGAGTGAATTAGTGACAGTTTGGAGCAGTTAATTCGAATTTTGAGTAATTTGAAGTGTTTTTAGTGGATTTGTGAGTGAATTAGTGAGAGTTTGGAGTAGATAATTCGAATTTTGAGTAATTTGAAGTGTTTTTAGTGGATTTGTGAGTGAATTAGTGAGAGTTTGGAGTAGTTAATTCGAATTTTGAGTAATTTGAAGTGTTTTTAGTGGATTTGTGAGTGAATTCGGGAGAGTTTGGAGTAGTTAATTCGAATTTTGAGTAATTTGAAGTGTTTTTAGTAGATTTGTGAGTGAATTCGGGAGAGTTTGGAGTAGTTAATTCGAATTTTGAGTAATTTGAAATGTTTTTAGTGGATTTGTGAGTGAATTAGTGAGAGTTTGGAGTAGTTAATTCGAATTTTGAGTAATTTGAAGTGTTTTTAGTGGATTTGTGAGTGAATTAGTGAAAGTTTGGAGACATAAATTAGCTACACTGGTTCCTGCTTCCACTTGGTGTCCAACTCGATTTGTATTTTCCCGTGTTCCGTTTGGTGAGGGCAACAGGAATGGTCAGCAATCTCTTGCTAATGATGATCTGGAATTGAGACCTGACCAACATGGTGACATGTCTGGAGATGGACTAACTGCCTTGGTTGGACTGAGTGACGGAGGAAGGAATATTAATGTTCAAGGGTGGCAGACAGAGAGTGCTTTTCATATAGCTCTAAGAAATAGTTTCATTGAAACCTTTGCTGCTGGGCCAAGTGGTAGTGGTACTCAGATGGGAGAGTCTTCAGACTAAAATATTGACGGCCAGTGTGAGAACACAAGCAATGCATCTATATCGTTAGATATGAAGACACCTCTAAGTCACTTCCCTCCATTTCGATTTGGGTTGGTTTTCTCCCCCCCCCCCCCCACCCCTTCTCTTTTTCTCTGTATCCTACTATATCGTGTCTTATATTGTAGTAGCATAGCTGTGTTACTCGGACACGGAAAAAGTGCTGCCGTACCTTAAGCTATTTGCCCCTCATGGTCTTTGCTTAACGGAATGAGAAATTGCACTCAAAACATGTTCTTTGTTGTTCTCTTGACTGCTGAGCTGCTGCTTTGATACCTTTATTTATTATGTATAGAGCTTCCTATACTTTGAAAGCTACATGTCATGGATGTCTCACTGTTTTTTAGAAACAACTAAAGTTTTGAGGTCACTTAATGAACTACTACCCTCGTGTCATTGTTAAATCATGTAAACAATACATGGTTCATCTTTTGGGATGTATTAAGTCATGGTCATATATTAGTATGGCATGTCCAATGACTTCATATGAAGAGTATACATTACCGACTTGTTATTTTTTGAACTTTATTCAATCAACTGTTCATACTTCTTTATTCTCTTGTTAATTTCAATAGGGTAGAATTTGCTGATGTGCATCGACTTAATGATGGTCAGGTTAAACACTCACCAGAAGCATTTTATGCTGGTTCATTTTGGAAAGTACGATTTCAATTTTCTTTTCCTGTATGTTCTTGAATGTGTATTATTAGAGCATATACCGGAGAAAAAGCCTACTCATTTTCCAGAATTGATATTTTTAAACTCATTCAGTCTGTTGCATCTAACAGATAAGTGTTCAAGCTTTTAATGATGAAGATCCTCAAGGGCGTAGGATTTACTATTTTATGCAAGTAATTGGTTATTAAATCATGAATGACTGAAAAACAAAGGGAAATTATTTTGAATAAAATATTCCTTTTGAAATATATGCTTTATTTGGATTTAGTAGTGAGTACATTGTAAGTTTAATTTACACAATAATAGCTACTCTTATTTCATTCGCTCTTCATTTATGGTTTATATTGTCAGGCTTATTTATTCATCGCCGGAGGGCTGAAATAATGGATCCTCAAAGGAAGGTCGTTGGAATCGGATAGCTTATGGTTCTTGGAAGAATCACAATTTGGCTATTACAAAATTATCTGATAACAAGCAGGAGCAGGAGAAGTTATTTGATGACAAGGAGAAGAAGGAAAAGTTATCTGATGATAGTTACCTTATATTTGTAAATAGTGACTTCTATATAAATGTGGTCAATGTTGTCGAAATTGATATAATTAACTTATTTTTATATATAGTGGCCTCTGTATAAATGTGGTCAAAATTGATATAGTTATCTTATATTTGTATATAGTGACCTTAATGTAAATATGGTCAAAATTGATATAATTACCTTATTTTGGGATATAGTGACCTCTAAGTAAATATTTTAAAAATTGATATAGTTACCTTATTTATATATAGTGACCTTGGTGTAAATGTCATCAAAAATAATATAACTTGACATAATTACCTTATTTTTGTATATAGTGACATCTGGGTTGTTTCACACCATCAGATTATCTAGTGAATATTCAATGGCTAAGATTGCTTGTTTTTAGTTTTCACCATAAGCTCTGTTTTTAGCGGAACCTTCCCGTATATATATACATATATATATACATATATATATACATATATATACATATACATATATATATATACATATACATATATATACATATATATTAAAAATAAAATAAATATTCTAGCAAACTCATTTTGGCTTCTTTTACTAACTTGGTGACAAGGTGGATACTAATAATAAATGTATTGAACAAATTTTTACCATGTAAAATGCGGAAGACATTCAATACACTTCTTTAAATATACCAGCAATATACTGTTGAATAACGTAAAGGAAAATTTGTCAAAAATAAGACAACCTTTGTGTGGTTAGCTTAAAATAAGCAACTTTTAAAGATTTTTTTTTTTTTTAGGTTCAATGACCTACAACCTACTAAACAAGTCAATTTTTTTAATTAAAAATTAAAATTACTTATTAAATATTATTAAATGTTAATTATAATTACATTAATAAACAAATTAAAAATATAAAAATCCCAGCCACCCCTCTCCCTCCACTCACTGCCAGCTCCCCTGCCATCGGCCTCCAAAGACCACCCTTCCCTCGGCGCCGGCGACCTTAATCCCTCCCTTTCCTCTTTCCCGCTTCCCCACATCCCCACCCTGACACCTACCCCTTTTCTTTCGCTCTCCATAAAAGTTTTTTTTTTGTTTTTTTTTTAAAATAACAATTAATCAATAATAAATCGTAATTATTTTTTTAAAAAGGATCAACCACGTAATGACATGTGGCATAATTTATCGAAACAATCGGTTACCTCAAAATTCAACAGGTCATGATTCATTTTCAGAAGATACTCTATAAAGGTCGATTCATTTTTAATTAATTAAAAAATATACTTATTTTAAGTTAACCGGACAAAGGTTGTTTTATTTTTGACAAATTTTCCTAATGTCAACCCTAGAGAAAGAGAAAAAAATTAGACATCTTACATTGAATTTGATTAATAATCCATTTAAAGTAGGAATCCACAACTTATCAATGTATCATAGTTGCCTGTAGTAACAAAAGAACGGGAACCTAGCAGATCAACGGATCCATCGAGAACCAATCTATCGCTAGTTGGAAACTATTAAAAACCGTAATTGATAACAAAATCACATATCAAAAATATTAGGTGTAATTTTAAATTACTATTCAAAGAAAACCCAATGTAGTGCGAATTAAATATCAATAACATACATGGACAAAGTATACTCAAATTGGACAAGAGATCAAGAAAAATTGCTCAACACAACCAGTAAAAATTCCCATTTTACGGGTTACAACCAGTATACTCGCTCGCAAGTCGCAACTATCGGATTTAACGAGCAAGGGTCAAGGGAGGCCCATGCTCGAGCTCTTGTTTAATTGCTCGGCTTTGGTACGCCCACCTCGCTCAATATTAGCCAATTGTGTCTTTTTGTTTTTTGCCTCATCCATTTTCTATTCTTTTATCTCTCCAAATAAAATTCCAAAAACACCAAAAATTTAAAATGACAGTATTGTTACCAGGCTCTCCCTTGAGCTGCCATTTCTCAATTCTTCCTTGTGTTAAAAAAGGTTATTCATTTTCTTATAAAACGTCAACTTCTTTCAGTTTTCCGCCATTAAAGGGTAGCTTCAGAATCCATGGAAGCTCAGATAATCTCGACACACCCACAACTGGTGAACAACAACAACAAGAAGAACAGAATTTGCAAATTAACAATTTAGAGGAGAAAGAAAATGAAATCAGGGGTTCTTCTGCTTCCACTTCTACTTCTACTGCTGCTCCTGCAATTGAGAAAGACATAAAAAAGGCAGGTTCTTTTTGCCCACAAAGTTTCAATCTTCTTTGTTGCTTAATAATTTTTTATTTTATCTTGTTTCTGATAATTTAATCATAATATCATATAATATATAGTATAATTTTTGTTAATATATAATCTTATAGCTATTTGCTTAGTTAATCTTTGAATATCTTGGAGTGCTCAGTTGTAACTTGTAAGTATGTGGTAATAAATTTTAAAATTGAGGGTCTAGTTTAATTTAATTTCTGGAACTTAGTGATGATAATAAATTAATGATTGGCTTTTATATTATAGGAATGTTTTGGAGGTGAAAAGAACGGCCTTTAATCTAAAAATAGTCATTACTGCCTTTGATTATAAGAATGTTGATTAGTGGAATTATTTCATTAATTGTTTTTGTTGTGCTATGTGATTGTTTGTTCTTCCTAATTGTTTAACATATTGGAATAAGAATTACTAGAGTATTTGTTTATGGTTAGGGTCTGGATGATTTTAGACTTATTAAGGCGAAAATTGAATTGGGTTGTTGGATTTGATGTTTACTGGAATTAATGAGTAGATTGGATGAGTAATGTTGGAAAAGTGAGGGAATACTTGAGGATCAAGAGGAAAACTTGAAGTGGGAATTTTTGAAGTGAGCATTGAACTAAGTCTTGTATGGGTTGTAGATGGAGCAAATTAGTAGACATTGTCGATGTGATTTGATAAATGGGTGAGAATGATCAATTCAACATTGGTGGATTGTGGGAGCTTGGTTGGCATATGATTGGGTTTTAGGACTTAGGAGTTTGGTGGAGATAAATAATTGTTTCAACTTTCAAAGGCTCCAAATGACTGAAATCTAGGATGAGGTGAGTTTAAAAGGTATTTTGATAGTAGAATTAGGGGGGGAGGTGGTTTTAGTGAGTGAAACTTAAGTTGATTTTTTTTTTTTTTTTTTTTTTTTTTTTTTTTTTTTTTTTTGTAAATGAATTTTAGGGGGGATTTAGGGGTGAAGGGACATTTTCTTAGTGTAACGTTTTGAATTGCTGAATGAAAATCTCATATGCTGCATTCTTGTATCAGAAATGCAAAGATCTAATAGGTTTGTCACATCGAAAATATAAGAGGATACTAATTGTCAAGTGTTTTTTAACGATAGGACAGGGGGTCTGTTGCAAATATGCAGTCAATGCAGAGGCTTTGTGGCAGAAGATGTTGGGGGAATATCAACTCTAGAGGAGTGCAAAATTGCTTGACCCCTTATGTGGCTTAGTTTTGCAAAATGGGGTCCTTTGGTGAATAGCAAAAGCTGAAGGAAGGCTTGGTTTATTGTATAACTAAAAACCAGTTTTGCTTCAGGGAGGAGAGGCATGAGGTGCATGAGGTTTTTTTTTTTATTATCAGCTTTGGATTATATGTTTTAACCTCCTTGCTGTGGTCAGTATATATGACTAGCAAAGCTCTCTACAGCTGCAGAGAGGTCTGATTCTTTTTACTTCTTAGCATGGTGTTTCAGGGTGGTTGACATGTATTCATGAGAATTTTGTTATTGGAAAAACTGCTTTAGCTAAAGGGGGTTAGTTAGAGTCTGATGTATAATTTCACGAGGCTTTTACAAAATCTCTATAATATTGCAGCTATTCTCATTGAGATAAAAGTAGCAGAATTTTCCAAGTATGATGACTGATTATGTGTCAACAAAGATTATAGGCAAAGGAATGGGGATAATGTTTGAGTTGGTGATGTAATTTTTGGCTGCAAGATGGCTAACAACAACATGCCAGATATTTGCCAGTTAATAAATTTGAGTTCTGTGCAGCCAACGAAAGATACTTTAAAGCCCTTAGCTTGTCCCATGCTTTTCTATTGGAAACTTCTATTTTGTTTTTGTTTTTTTGTTTTCAAGATTTTTAAGGGGGGTGGGAGGTTGATGATCATGAGTATTGATAGCTACATATCCTGTTTTAACATAGATAGCAACAGTGAGTTGAATGATGATAAAGAAAGAAAATTTTGGTCAGTTTTCCACTTTAGCAACATATAGATGAATAGAATGATTGATCAAACTCCATATATTCTGATGCAAGTGATCATTTATGTATCCAAGAATGGCTTTGGGAGTTACACTTGCTAATGATGAGGCTTTAGCGTAAGGATTGACCAAATAGGATCCGTGTTAACATGTTCTCCAACTTTCATTGTTTGGTCAAAGGTCAGCCTCTACTCATAAATTTAAGATGTTACATATTTTTTTTTTATCTTGTTTCTCCTACCTTATGCAAGAACCATCTTTAAGGTGTTTAAGTCATAGTGGGCCTAGTGGCAATGGGAATGCTTATGACACTGGCTTTAGCAGCTCAATTCTGATGTCTGATTTGAAATGCATTTTTTCCTTCCGTCTTTGTTGGGAAGACTCAATTTTTCCATCCTTTATAAACTCATTGTGCAGAAAAATTCTTGACATGTTCCGTGTTCAATCAGGTAGTAAACAAGGCAGCTGCAACCTTTGCTCCTAGGGCTTCTACAGCTTCCAAAAATCCTGCTGTGCCAGGAAGTACATTGTACTCAGTTTTTGAGATCCAGGGATATGCATCTATGCTTCTGGGCGGAGTTCTCTCCTTCAATCTTGTATTCCCTTCAAATGAGCCAGACATATGGCGATTAATGGGCATGTGGTCCATTTGGATGTTCAGTAAGTCCTTTTCTCCACTATGATAATAGAAATTCACTTCTTTTATTATACTTCTTTGTTGCTCAAAATACTACACACCTAAGGATCACGAGAGATGGACATCATGATGTAAAGGAGAGAGAAAGTACGAGAGAGAGGGATAGACAAATAATTTACACGTGGGATTACTCATTGCGTAGCTTTCATTTGTTTTAGCATTTCAGATCTCACTCATCTATTTCACATGGCTCCAATTAGGCTTAATGCTTCCTTGAAAGTATTCTATTTTGGGTTATTTGCATGTTGGTTAAGATGTTGACAAAATCTAGATGAACTTAAACATGTCAAATGGAGCACAAAGAACTACTCATGCATTAGATCTGGTTTCTTGTGGTGGAATTCTCTATTGATTTGGAGTGTGGACTATACGTGGGTCAAATAATAGTATTATATATTCAAATAGTTTGAGAGTGACAAACTACTATGTTGATAGAAACAAGGGTGAAGGTCATTGAAACCCATTTTGCTCATAAATGTTAATTTCTTCCAAATATGCAATATCTCAATCTGTATCTTTGATTAATAACTTTTGGAAACTGGAAACACAACTATACTCAATTATACTTCTAACTGGAAACTGGAAATGAAATTTATTTTCTTTGGTGCAGCAATTCCTTCACTTCGTGCCCGAGATTGTTCAAACAAAGAAAAAGAAGCACTCAACTATCTTTTCCTCCTCATTCCATTGCTAAATGTTATAATCCCATTCTTTTGGAAGTCCTTTGCTGTTGTTTGGTCTGCAGATACCGTTGCCTTCTTTTTGATGTATGCTTGGAAGGTAAGAATAGTTTATTTTCAATGCCTTTACCAATGTACACTACAGTAATTTTCAGTTACTGACACTATTTCTACTTCACAGTTGAGGTGGTTGCAGAAAATAGAGTAAGGTTGCCATCTTGGGTTGTCTTGGACTCTTGGAGAAAGTATATGCTGTACAAGAAGTATTAATTTTGATTTGATATTGTACACAATATGTTCAAAACTTTCAAGGAAGCTGGAAACTCTAGTGAAGGAAAGACTAAGATGCTTAGAAGCCAGACAGAGTTACACTAATTGAAGTTATTGATTTGATGCAATCAATTACTCCCATTCGTTACGTGTATGAACGGTGTTTTAATGTTGTACGCGGATTTTTAATAGCAATTGTATTGGTATTTAGTTATTTACTCCGCATAAAATTATAATTGTTACTGTATTTTATACCTGTTTTGTTAAATAGTATAGGGACATGGCTAAATGGCTTAAATGATAGATTTCCTAGTTCCATCCTACATTCATATTGTTATTTTGTATATTCACTACTTTACCTGTTTTCCACAAATTGATAATAGGATAACGGTGGTCAAAGAACCACCAAAAGCGAACAAAGTCCGCAAAGAAACACGAAGCAGAACCAAACAGCAGTTCGTGGAGATCGAGGAGCAAGCCAACCCACTCTAATCATTGACAGCTCGTCGGATTTATGCTTAAAGGGGAAGAGCTGGTATTATTTAAGACCAAGGGCTTGTTTTCACGGTTTTGGGATTTTCAATATAGCGCGTGAGGCCCGTTCAAAAGTACTACAACAAAATATAGTAGTAATTTTAGAAGTAGTACTACGTAGTTAGATAATAAAGTCGAGAGATTCTCAGGCTCTACCTAGCTACTAGAGGCTTTATTATACTTTAAAGCCTCTATTATAATTTGAACCACTATTCCAATAAAATATTATACTTTAAAGCCTCTAATAAGGACCAATCAATAAATTAAAATAGATGTAAAAAAAAAAGAAAAGGAAAATAAAATTGTAAAAATAAAAAAAGTGTCACGTGACTCCAAAAGAAAGAAATAAGAAAATTTTGCTTTTTGTCACCCATTTTTGCAGTACAATGTCACCTACTTTTATAGTACAATGTCTCGGAAATTGTGAAGTGTAGTACTATTTCGTCAGCCTTTTATGAAATATCAGCAACATAACAAAGTAAACCAATAATAGTGGAAAATTCAATGATAGTTTCCGTAACAACTTTTTTTGTATGAATGTGCTTTTATCATAAAAATTATGTAATGAAATATAATATAAATATAGATTGAAATAGTTGCATTTACTTCAATATTCGTACTATATTTAAATATATTTTCCCAATCATTATTGAACATCAAAGTATATTATCCAATATCTAGTATCTAAAATTATTAATTTGGCTTCGTTCAACTTCAAGTTTATGAATAAGATTAAGTCTTTTTAACAAAACATAATAGACACGAGATGTGTCATTGGAATAGTGGTTCAAATTAAAGTATAATAAACTTTTAATTTACTTTCTTGACTTTGACCAAGTTGACAAGTCCTAGAGTCAGTGAATGGTCTTTGGGCTAGTTTGATTAAAACATAACAACATTGGGCTGATATCACACTAAGGCCCAATTATATATAGACCGGATTAGAAGGCTAATGGATGATTTTAAAGTAGAGTTAGAGCCAAGAAGCATAATTGTACAACAGTTATGGGAGTCAGTCATAACCACTCCATTTTGCCTATAAATAGAAGTGCGGGGATCGAAGGACATCAGCAAATAACTCAACAACAAGCATTTAATTTATTTTAAACTTTCTTCTTAGCTTTCGTGTTTTCCTTTGGCTTAGCAGCAAAGCGATAGTGTAGCTTATCACATAGCATGTATTGAAAATCGTTCGTCTTTTCCAATTGTATGACCATGGACGTAACCTCTCCTTCAACTTGTACAATTATAGACCTGATTCTATCCTTTCATTAATGGAATGCATTTGTATATTTTTTTATATGTTATTTTTTGTTTAATGAGTTATAATAATCATATGACATGGCGCCACATCATCTGTCTAGTCATGATAACACGTGGCGGGCTCGTGTCTTCCCATTTACAAAGCATATTTAATTAAATAAAAAGAATTATATATCTTGCACCTATATGTGGTTAACTTATTTGCTAACTCATACTTTCTATTTTAATTTTGTTCATCATACACTACTAGAAAATAGGCCTTTTGTTTCTGATACTAAAAAACTCAATAGTATCGATTAATTTTTTTTTCCAAAACTACTTCCTTAGTTTTGACTTAACCTTGATATTAGACTTTTTTTTTTTTAATTTTTTTTTTGGTTTTCCGCCCGCTTCAGCCTTTGGGGTAATCCGAATTCGAGGATCAGTTATGGGTGGTTAGGTTCCACTCCCCTCCCAATTGTTGTTGTAGGGAATTGAACACGTCTTTTCCCTACCAAGTGTAGTCTCAGTCACCAATATAGAATGGTTAAATTTCAAAACATAATTTTCATAATCAAACTTTTCATTGGTTATAGTTCAATGTCAAAAAGTGGATACTATATACGATATTAGATATCTTAGCAATAGTTGGTATATAAGCCAAATAAGTTGGGATATATTTTTTGTAAGACAGTAGAAACGAGAAATATTTACTAATGATTAGACCGTCATAGTGATGTGTACTTGCGGAACTTATGGGTGGGAATTTTCCTTCCTAATTGAAACCCCTTATTAACTTTTAAACTCTATTGTACACAATAGATGCAAAATTTTGAAAGGATATTTCTGATTTAGTTGTGTGTCCAAAAACATAAAGAAGGATCTAAGGCAACTATATGCTTGCTTATGCTTAATGAATTGACTAAATTGATGACACTTATTGAACACGTAGTTTAATGAATTGACTAAATTGATAACACTTATTGAACACGTAGTTTAAAATACTACCAATGTCCATTAATGATTATAAAATACATGACGAAATTGTCCACTAATGACATTACAATACGTAAAATAAACAAATAACCTTAATGAAATTTGAAACAAGGTAATCATGTTTAAAAAAGAAGAAACTTACTAATGCCATTTTCAAAATAAATGTCACATGTAGTTCATTGAAACACAACTGTGCAGTTGAAATGAATGAGTGATTTCAGATTTGTAATTCATTTGTATTTCATTTGGTTATACTCTTAATGAAATGAATCCAGATAAAATTTATCGTTCGTTGGTATAAAATGTAATGAATTCGGTATTTATGGTTGGAAATGGTAGGGATGTGTATTGAACGACAAAAATCGTACTTAATGGTACGATTGAGTTGACCCGTGACAGTGATAGGTATTTGGGCGGGATTTTTCCCTCCTAAGTCAAAGCAACATTCAAATTTAAATTTCATGAATTGAGTAATGAAGTCTTGTTTTTAAATGAATGATTAAGAAAAGTAAGCAAGGAAAATTGGTTATATGTGAAAGTAAATATCATACTCCGTATTACTTAACACCTCATTTCCAAACTCTAACAAAAGAATGAATCTGAACCAGAGCATACCAGTAAAGCATGGGGGAGTCTTGCTGCAAGGCTTGGCCACCCACACATATCCAATAAAATTCAAGTATCCACAACATAAATGAAAACAATGTATTTGCAGATTCCAAATGCTTTATCTTGGTACTGCAAAAGAAACCACAAGCAAAGTGCATTATTTTAAAGTGCTTAATAATCCAATATAACCCAATCTCTCGCTTACCAAAATAAAATAAATAAAATAACTATAAAAATAGTATAATGACTATAATTGGAGAAAATGAGTAAATAACTCTTAAAGTCCAGTTGTGTAATAGATCTTTCTCCACAAGTATGAAAATAATAAAGAAAAGAAAAAAAAATTCAAAATTTAGAGCAGAATTTAGTCAATTTACTACTGACACAGGCTTATTGGCCAAATGTCAATGTATTCTATCTGTTCAAATATGTATAACCACCATTGAAGATACAATTTGACAGGATCAGAATTTCAGAATCAACATCCATAGAGTGACAACATTGAGAAAAAAGTCTAAACGAAGTCACAAAATCCCTGTGGACAGGCAGCATACATAAATCCATCTTCCACCATTGTACAAAGCCGAACATCCACATAAATTTAGAGCCAAGACACCCCTTATACCTTCATGGCTTCATCCACATGTTTTGGACCTTCCTTTTCTCAAGTAATTTATATTCAGTTAAAATTAGTTTTGGTGGGTGTAGACACCTACAAATGTCTCCCCAAAACCAAACCCGATTATGAACAACCTTTCACCGCCATTATTGGTCCGTTAAGTATTTAATCTCAAAAGTGTTTAAAACCCATATTCAGTCAAGTCAACAAATCATTTATTCAAGCTCAATCCAACTCATAGCCTAGCCCAAACCCTTTTCATTCATTTCGTGTTATTTATTAATTAAGCCCGATTAATAAATAATAAAAACTCTAAGCCTGAAATTAATCCGGAATAGCTGAAACGACGCATAATATATCACGTACTTAATTATTAAGCAAGGATACATGGATCTGGACTGTTTTCAGGAAAACATGTGCAACGTGTCACGGCAGACACGCACACCGCGTCACGGTATTCCGCGTCGTGTCGCGGTATTTTGCGCCGTGTCACGGCACACATGCCGTGACACGACATTTTTCTAGAGTTTCTTCGCAGCGCCTTTTCATTTCTAGGGTTCCCTACCTCACCCCTCTTATTTTCTCTATAAATACGAACCTGATTTCTCCAGTTTCGGGGACCAATAATCATTCTCTTCTCTCTCTTTAGCCTAAACACCAGCCTACCCTCTTCTCTCACAATACTTCCCTTAAGCACTCCCCGGAGTCCGTACTTTACCCGTAGTTCTACACTTAAACCAAGGCGTGAAAGATAGAACTGTTTGAGGGTTTGGCCCCAAATCAAATTTAATTTAGTTTAATTTAAATTTCATTATTGTTTCTTAATTTTTCCTGAAGTTACTAACGCGATTATTATTTTATAGTTGCAAGCAAACAAAATCAAAGTAAGGAATCATGTTGCTTTTGTTCCTATTATATTTCTAACGATTTTTATTATGTTTGTCATATATTAATGGTTGGATATTATTGTTAAATTGCTTCCAATATTGACGTTATTCTACTGTTTATTGTAAATCACCATATTGCATGTTTAATGGGAATATGTAATTGAATATCACAATTAATAAGATAATTTGGACGATTGCACTAAGCGAAAATTGCTAATCAGCACCGGTTCAAAACCTCCATTTCGCACTGGTTTTTGAACCGGTTCTGATTTGAGGGATGTCAAATCCCAAGACTTTTCGCACCGGTGCAAAAACTTATTTTTCGCACCGGTTCTTGATGTGAACCGGTGCAAAAGTCCCCAAAAATATTTAAAAAAAAACGTTTAGCACCGGTTTTTTCTGTGAACCGGTGCGAAAAATGGCCAAAAAAATAAAA